AAGAAAGAAAGAAAGAAAGAAAGAAAGAAAGAAAGAAAGAAAGAAAGTTAAAATTGGCTAAATTAATCAATTACATCAAGTAATGGCAAAGTTCTTGGTTCAGGTTTGTAGCAGTGATGGAATAAACTTCATGTTCAAATCACATCTCTGGAGTACATCCACAGCTGGGACTAGATAATTCAGTCCTTTGTTCAGGGCTTCAGTCTGTAGCAAAGTTCCTCCAGAGGTAAGAAGCAGGATCAAAGACTCATTGTTCCACCTGGGCTGACCTCAGCACTGGGGCTCGAGGGTGAAGGACAGATGGGCTTTGTGAACCCTCTGCAGCCTCCCCGGTTCCGTCCGCATGAGAGACTGGCTTGAATCAGTATCTGCCCCCCAGCAGCTAGTTGGGGATCCCACCACATCTCCCATAGCTAGGTGGGGCCCATACTCCCCCATCTATTGACTCCAGTGGAGAGATGCCCATTGACACCATAGAATCATAGAATCATAGAATATCAGGGTTGGAAGGGACCTGAGGAGGTCAGCTAGTTCAACCCCCTGCTCAAAGCAGGACCAATTCCCAACTAAATCATCCCGGCCTGGGCTTTGTCAAGCCTGACCTAAAAAACCTCTAAGGAAGGAGATTCGACCACCTCCCTAAAACTAGGTGAGTGGGTGACGAAATGGCAGATGAATTTCAATGTTGATAAATGCAAAGTAATGCATGTTGGAAAACATAATACCAACTATACATTCAAAATGATGGGGGCTAACTTAGCTGTTACCACTCAAGAAACAGATCATGGAGTCATTGTGCATAGGTCTCTGAAAAGATCCACTCAATGTGCAGCGGCAATCAAAAAAGTGAAAAGAACGTTAGGAACCATTAGGAAAGGGATAGATAATAAGAAAATATCATATTGCCTCTATATAAATCCATGGTATGCCCACACCTTGAATACTACATGCAGGTCTGGTTGCGCCATCTCAAAAAAGATATATTTGAATTGGAAAAGGTACACAAAAGGGCAACAAAGATCATAGAATCATAGAAAATTAGGGTTGGAAGAGACCTCAGGAGGTCATCTAGTCCAACCCCCTGCTCAAAGCAGGACCAACCCCAACTAAATCATCCCAGCCAGGGCTTTGTCAAGCCAGGCCTTAAAAACCTCTAAGGATGGAGCTTCCACCAACTCCCTAGGGAACCCATTCCAGTGTGCCACCACCCTCCTAATGAAAAAGTTTTTCCTAATATCCAACTTAAACTTCCCCCGCTGCAACTTGAGACCATTACTCCTTGTTCTGTCATCTGCCACCACTGAGAACAGCTGAGCTCCATCCTCTTTGGAACCCTCCTTCAGGTAGTTGAAAGCAGTTATCAAATCCCCCTTCATTCTTCTCTTCTGCAGACTAAACAATCCCAGTTCCCTCAGCCTGTCCTCATGAGTCATGTGCTCCAGCCCCCTAATCATTTTTGTTGCCCTCCGCTGGACTCTTTCCAATTTTTCCATATCCTTCTTGTAGTGTGGGGCCCAAAATTGGACACAGTACTCCAGATGAAGCCTCACAAATGTCGAATAGAGGGGAAAGTTCACATCCCTCGATCTGCTGGCAAAGCCCCTACTTATACAGCCCAAACTGCCGTTAGCCTTCTTGGCTACAAGGACACACTGTTGACTCATATCCAGCTTCTCGTCCACTGTAACCCCTAGGTCCTTTTCTGCAGAACTGCTGCCTAGCTATTCGGTCCCTAGTCTGTAGTGGTGCATGCGATTCTTCCGTCCTAAGTGCAGGACTCTGCACTTGTCTGGCCCCATTGACTGCAATGGAGAGACACCCATTGACACCAGCTGGGGAACTGGCACCATTGACTACAATGGGAGATACCCATTGATATCGATTGTTTCCAGGGCATTTTATAGCTTCTGCCATGTGGAGGGCATCCCATTGTTCTTACTGTGTAAAATTACAGCAACAAGATGGAATTTGAAGTCACATGGGCAAGTAACATGTTCATGCACAATTTCTCTCAGTCATTGCAGGAAGCCATTACCTACACTAAAGACAGGAACTTTACAGGACAGTCCACTCAGTGTAGATGGGCATCTCCCATAGGCCACTGTCAACCAAGTGTTTCTTGATGAGCCACTTAATTTGAATAGTCCCTCTAAGATGTGCTGGGCATTACCTTGTGGGCGTTACCCCAGGAGCAAAAATTTGAAATCCAGATATAGAGCCAATATTTATAACTTCACATACAAAAATGATACATGCATCCAGATAGCATAACCATAACCAGCAAAACATAACCTTTCCATAGACACCTCACTCGACAACCTTTGTACAAGATTTCATGCAAATGTATAACAGTGATTGCAACAATCATCTATATCATCATATTTTAATCAGATACCGTCACACATCCCCAGCTATTCCACTCGTTCTCTATGTTATGTCAGGCACTGGCGATCCACAGTGAGAGAGAGTGCATGCCCCAAAGTCCTCCTGGTCTAAACAGAGTTTGGGAAGGGAAACTAAGTCACAGAGGAAGGAAGAGACTCACCTCACGTCACCTAGCTGCACAGTGGTAGGAGTAGAAATCATGGCTTCCAAGTGACCAACCAACTGAAAATCTATCTATCTATCTATCTATCTATCTATCTATCTATCTATCTATCTA